CAGAGCCCCTGTTTTGAGTTTTTGGAATAGGCGCAACCCTGGAAATTTTCCATTCGGTGGGATATATACCGGTCTGTAAAGCTAAATTAAAAATATGAAGCAGAGGATCAATGAAAATATTTCTTAGGTCTTTGACTATCTTGGGGGGAATGTTGTCAGGTCCAACAGAACTATGAAGTTTAAGTCTATTTATTCCCTTAATAATATCCGAACGGCGCAGAGGGGCTATATTTATATAATTACTGTTATTAGAATAATCTGATGTAATGGCAAGATCGGCATTGAGCCGCGGAACTTCAGGTAGGAAAACAGTTGAAAAGAACTCAGCGAAGGCTTCAGCCGCTCTGGCACCTGAAAAAGTTTGACCCTTGTATGCAATATTCGGTTCAAATCCACCTTTAGAACGCAAACAAGAAATATGTGACCAAAACTGACGAGGATTGTGTTTAATCTTGTTCTCCAGATTTGTCATATATATGGAATACGCCTCTGCAATTCTAGTTTTGAGCCTTGATCTGAGATTAGAGAATTCTGAATATGATGTTTGAGATCTGGTTAGTTTCCAATTACTATGGAGTTTCAACTTGACCTTGAGATCCTGTATTATATCTGTTGTGAACCATATGGGATAACGCCTATTTGTTGACTTCCCTCTGCGTTTTTTAGGCACGCAAATGTCAAAAAGATCATAAACAATGCCATAAAACTTGAAAGTAGCTTCTTTAACATCCTTAGTTGCCAAAACCTTATCCCAAATATTTTGCTTAGAGAACAATGAATACAAATGCTCGAAATCACATTTACCGAAGTTCCAATCTCTGAGACTGTCTAAATTACTGGGCTCAATTGATTCCGAGTTACGACCCAAAGAGACCCCAACCTCAATGTGTAATGCCGGATGGTATGCATCTAGTGGTACTATCCCCTCCGTTGCAGCAACAAATATATCTGGTGTGCCAATGGTCTCTCGAACCAAAACAACATCTAACATTCCTCCATACAAATTCTTCACAACATTCATCTCATTCAGACTACAAAATGAAATATTACATTGGTCCTCTGACTATATTGCTCTTCTGTTATATGTAAGGTACCTACCTCATCTGGCGCTGTCCGAGCTTGGACGCGCAGCGGCTAAACAGCTGGAAAAGGCTGAGTCCCTCCCTGCTGGAGCCGCGCACTCCTCGCTTGAAGGCGCTCGGGTGTGCCACTGCACTGAACACCTGTAGTCCACGGTATGTGTCCTCGTCTATTGTTACTATGTCTGCACTGAAGAATGTAACCCAATCATTTTAAAAATATGTAGATCAAAAGTTTTGCTTGTAGATTACCTCATTACGTACATTTCTACGCCGAATATGACATTGTAGGTACATCATCATCATGACAGTATTCATTAACATTAAGTACTGGTTAGATCCTATCACCCCTTAACTTAATCGGAACTACTGAATTGAACTACTTTTAAACTTACAGTGAAATGATCCTTAAGCTTAGAAACTGTGGTTTTCCATGCAGGTCCATGCTCAACTTAGCCCAGTTTAGATCCAAGTATCTGAGCAGGGCGCCTAATGCGTGTACACTCTGTGTTTGAGAGTAATCTATGACAGTCCTCAAGTACAGGGACCTTTCGTCATCAGAGCAGTTTGCTGGCTCAGTAGGCAGCGAGAGTGAGGAGATGCGTCGTTTGCATGCTTCGAAATCTAGAAGAGAAGTTGATAATTTCGAACGACATGCTTATATTTTTGTTAGAATAAATAAACTGTTTAGACTGTCTCGATTGTACATAATAGTGTTACTGATTAAATGATGGTTTAAGTTTTCTTTTGAGCTTTGAGGCATAAGCTAAGCTTGTGGCGTTGAAGCAAGTCGAACTTTAATGCATGTGAGCCGAATTTACATACAATGTCTTACGATAGTTATTATTACACAAAAATCGAGTCTTGCAGGTACTCTCCAGTTAAATAGTAATCACGTTAACACTCACTATACTCCTGAGAGGACAAGAACACGAGTTTGCATCGTCCCTCATCATTAGCGTCGCTGTCAAACACAGTCTTCTTGACAGTCTGCACGAAGGCACCCTGGTTCTTCCCATCAAGTAGGATACAGACCGGTTCTACTTGACGATACAGGCTCAAGAACATCAGGTACTCTGGTGGACGGTCTACTATCTCTTCTAGGATAAATAGCTAATCAGAAGAAATAAGCTTTTTCTTATTCACGATTTTACACTAACATAAGAGCGGTACACCAAAACGGCACTAGATCAGGCATTGAAAAAATAAATTATACATCTACGCCTCATGAAACCGTCGTAAAAGACCTGGCATACTTAGGTACTTACTTACTATTTTATTATTATTATCCATGTGTGTATGTCCGGTATATGGCAATAGGCTCACCCCCTATTACATGGGACTCATAACATAAATAGTGAAAAGTGGGTGTTACATTGCACAGTGGTATAATGTGCACCTCTGCCTACCCTTTCGGGGATAAAAGGCGTGATGTTATGTTATGTTATGTTATGTTATGTTATGTTATGTTATTATTATCCACTAAAAAATAAAGAAACTAGTTGTTGACGTTAAGTTTTGGATTATACTTTATTTATAATCATATATTGATAAATTATTTATATTTTACTCACCTCGCCCGTTTGCAGGGTGCAGTAGGCCGCACCCAGCTTGCCTGACCGACAATACGCCACCAACACCCTCTGCGATATTGTAATAAATAGGTCGAATATTTTAAAATAGTTATCAGTGCTTTGGAGCTTACAATCTTATTCCTTTACAACTAAGTTAAAAGTCTGTGTGAAATAATTTTTAGTTTAGACTTAGAGTAGTACCAAACACAAATCCAGGTTCGTGCTGCCGTGGACATCAACATGGGAACCGTACAGTAATAACCTTAAGGTCACAAATACCTACTAAATTACTATTCAGTTACTACTAACTTAGGCCATATTTATAACACTATCTCGTTTCTAAGTCTATAGGGGCTCACGAGCCGCACCCGATGTGCTACTCAAATATCAGTAGGTACATGTAAACCTGGCTAATTAATTAGACTCCTGCTGACACTGCCTGCGGTAATTAATCGGGATTTGTTTGGTAACATGACACGCGGGCATTGTGTAGCGTGTCGGTTTTACTTTAGGTACATTAGCGACATGAACATGAGGGCGAAAACTGTATGGTATTTATTTACTTGTTCTGACCTAAGCAATCACGGTCAAATTGTATTTAATTTCCTTTCTTAATGATGTATTTGAATGTGAATGTAACTATTGGTAAGTTATGCTAGATGTTCTAGTAATGTTAAGTAAATGTTTACCTCTTCCGTCTCAGATTCCTCACTAGTTTCTTGTTGTCCAGTTGTTGTTTGATCTTCATTTCTAAAATAAATGATATTTTTACAGAACCATTACTTTGCTGTTTCTTTTATCAAGAATATGCTTGAACCATTTACCAACCTCCGACAACTTGCAATAACAAAGTGATTTTCTGATTGGTTATTAGAATTATTTGTACTGCTGCTGCTCGTCTGTCGTAACACTGGCTCCAAAGTCCGATCTGACGAATTTTCGTCCATTTCTTAATTTATTTTGAAAGTCTCCCTTGTTGTGTTTTAATTTTTCCCGCTTTTTGGTGCAGTCGTTTGGTATTTTTAGATTTAGTTTAGTCTATGGTATAACTATTTTTCTTTTTTTAAAACATTTTCATCTCATCTTTTTGTTTACATTAAAAATAAACAAAAATATTAATTTTACCTGATTCACGCATTCTATGTTCAAAATTAGTCAGTATGTACTTATTGAAATTTTATTTTAATGTTATTGTAATTTTACTTTAGATTTTTCACCACAAAAAAGCTGTTGAAGAATTAAAGTAGTCCTACTAAAATACTCGTTGATATTATTGACTCATGAAATATTCAGTAGTTACATAGAAGTAAGTAATTGAAATATAGCGTGATGTTGAACATTCGACATTCACGCTTGTTATGACGTTATGCGGTCAATCGCCTGCTTTGTTGGGGTTTACGCTTTATCAGTCGGTCCTAAATCCTAATCATACAACATAGTAAACAATAATGAAAAATAATGTAACATTCGGCAGTACTAAGGTAATAAATAAGAGCGTGCAATTAGGCTGAATGTATTCGTGCTTTTGCCAGATACAAGTACATTTTTTTTGACGATGCCGTCCATAGACTAGGACCTAATTTTAAATTATTGCTTTGCATTGGTTTGAAAATAAAATAAAAATACAGACTGTAAAACATTTATTTAAAACATTTACACTCAGAATTATTATCTATAATATTATTTATTACATTAATTTAATGTTTTAAAATTTTAATTATTAATTAAAATATTTATCTAGTCCTTATTTAATTACAATATATTTAGACAAATAGAAATGTTGGTGCAAAAACAGTTTATTCTTAAACAATAATAAGTAAATTTCCCACAAGGCACTTATGGCGAATATCTTTTATGTTTTCTTGCATCTGTTAATGTTTTCTTTTTTCACTATATAGGTATCCTTACATTATTAATTATATTGAATACAATTACACGATACGTTTAATTTTAGTAATAATATTTAGTTAAAAAGTTTATCTTACAATTTATGACTAGGTTACATGACATCATTTAATATTTAATTACAACTATGGCACAGTACATCACGCCTTATAATTTACAGAATTTACACTATCATTGCGTATAAGTTTTGATTTATTCTGCCTTCATGATAAATATTCTTTCGCTTGAAGAAATTGAAGTCTATAGCCCAAGGGTGTCTTCGAGTGGCGACCATGAACAGGAAGACGTGACATGGGCAAGAATCCCGCTAGGTGGAGTAACGACATTGTCAGAGTCGTGGAGAATCATTTAATGTAAGTGGCAAGTTGTCATTCACTAAGGGAGGTCTTTGTTTAGTGGTGGACATCTTCCAGTTGATGACGATGATTTTTTAATTTCATTCTTAAACGATTAGTAGATCCTTTTCCTCAGGAGCATCCTTCCTAAAGTTGACCCTGATATGCCTGCAGATGTGGCCCACGGCGTCTGCAGCAGGCACTACGATGGCTGCCATGCAGGACTGCACCATCGTGCGGAGTGATGCGAAGTAGATCTTCACGCAGCGGAGACACGGCGCTGTGCACCAGATTTGCTGTGAATGAAAGTAAGTGTCAGAAAATTCTACTTGAGAATTTGCAATGATAAACTTGCGTTGATTGAATGATTAGTTTTTTATTGTATTTAGCTTAGTGTTATGTCATATTTGTACAGTCAGCCATATTAAACTGTCAAACACCGAGCGGTCACCGGTGACCGCGACCTATTGTTCTTTAATTGTGTCTATAATGATGGTACTCAACGAGTTAATTGGTGTACTGGTAAGAAAATAAAAAATGAATATACTTTGCCTGACACGGTAATGGAACTCAAGACCTTATCGTCGTCATTAAGTAAGAACGCGGGTTACTCACGTGAATATACTGAGAAAAGCTCTACTACATCACCGCGACCGCGCACGCTACTCATGAGGAAGAGCCCCTCTGTGGTTCGAAACTAGTAGAGCTTTTCTCAGTATATTCACGTGAGTAACCCGCGTTTTTACTTAATTTAGTATGTCTCACGATAGTTATTATAAAAACTTATCGTCGTCGTTTTAGCTGGGTATTAATTATTAACTATTGGGTAAAACTCGCTTCTCTATCGTATTTCTGTGTTCTGAGCAATATTCCATGCACCCGACATCGTTAATCCCACAAAACTTCGGATGACTCTGTCTTTTCTTGATACTTTAACCTTTTGAACGCCAGAGCAAAAACGCATGAACTTGCCCTCAACGCCAGGCCACAAATTCACCGCAAATACCTACGAAAAAAATAGGGATTCCAAAACTTCATCGATAATCAATTTTATTTTCATTTTCGTCTTTAATTTCGAAATATAATGTCCTTATAACATTGAAATTTAATTCAACATTACATTTCTTCCTATTAAAGTAATAGTTATACACTATTTACAGACTTGTATAATACCGTAATAACAGATATGAGACTACAATATATTTAAATATAATAACTGTAGGTACAACACTATTCTTGATCTGCTGTCTTCATATTGTGACCATGGCGTGGACGGCCCGCCATTTTAATAACTACTTCGCTTCCGAAATAAGGATGTGGCAACGTAATATCTCGTTTATCGATGTTCTAGTACAATATTATTTTATAATAATTGAAACACGTTTTTTAAATCAGATTTATAATTCCGAATGTAACAGGTACTTAAAAATATATGATTGAAATAGGTTAAGAAGGTAAATAAAAACTATGAAAAAATTGAAAATTTTAATAAAATGTTATACAGTATGTACTATGTATACATGTTTTTAAATATTAAGTTCTATAAACCTGGCATAAAAAGTAACAAATTAAAACAATTAACGATTATATATAATTATCACAATTACCAATCAGTCATAAACTAATAAATCTTTTGAATAATAGAACAAAATTATACAAAATCTACAATGCAACCTGCATTCTGATCATCTAATTCGCTGGGTGCAAAGTGGGTGGTGGGGACAGTGAAATCGATCTCAGCGCGCACCGTGGCTAAAAAAGGAACTTTTGGCAGACTTTATTCCACGAAGCTATAGGTAAATATGGAGCCCACACTTAGAATAAAAGTTTCGAGTCAAATACTCTCGCTCTTCTTCCGTAGTCATTAAATTCCCACTCATTATAATAGTCACTTAATATATGTAAATCTTGAACTCGATATCACAAGTAAATTAATCATAAATATTATTCATTCACTTCACTAATTTCTGGTCGCCGCGCTTGTGACGTCACGAGCTACCCGATTGTGACGTATTAGCCGACAGGTTTAACCAAATTGTACTGTTGACCATACAATTTTGTGAAAATGTTGTACTTAATTGTAAATAACATGTAGGTATATTGTGACTTAATTCTTAATATAATTATTATTACTGTTTTTTTTCCAAATGTTTTGTGGGTAATTTGAGTCTGACAAGTTTGACATAATGATATTTTCTGTTAATCTTGACGTTTCATATGGTTTAAGTTCTGACATGAAGTTGAATTTTATTTTATTTTATTATATTTCTTTTAATGTTGACATGGATCTGAATGTGTATTTGTAATATTGATATAATGGTCTTATAACAAATTAATTAATTGCTGTCATTGGTGTAACCGTTGTAATTAATATAAATAAATAAATAAATAAATAAATAAATAAATAAATTGTCGTCTAGTCGTGACCATGGCGTACAGGGTACTGATAATTCGGGTTGCGTTAGGGATGCGCTTGAGTTAGGATTAGTGAATATCGAAATTCGACCCAACCAAATTTTATTTTTGACTATGTAGCTTATTGAATGATTTTTAAGACTGGTTTTATAAAATTAATGCTGCTTTATCCTAGTACCAAATTATACCTAAAATAATATATTCCAGAGGAAAGTTTCGAATCGATCTTTGATTTGAAATAATGATATTATCCAACATGCGCTACATCACTAGCGGTCACGCAGTTATGACTCTGGCGTGTGAGGACATTCTTTTTTCAGAGTTTATTTCTTTCTTTTTAACGTAAAATTTCTCAATATTTATAATGCAATTTAATTAGTTTTATGGAAATAAATAAATTTTGGACCTTCTATTTTACAGGTATATAAATAAATAGGCATTCAAGTAATGTTTAAATAGTTTATTTCGTGTTTTAATGTACCGCTGTTTTTGTCACATATTTGTGTCGTTGGCGCTCAGGGACAGTTTTCGCTTGTCACGTATTTGTGACCCTGGCGCTCAAAAGGTTAATAATTAGCATAGTTATCTTATTTTTATATAATCCTACTTACCTACTTATAAATGTAAGTAGTAAATAAGTAATTTGTATTGTTTAACTGTATAATGCTTTGGGTTGTGCTGTAAAATTATGCATGTGCTTATAAAATAAATGAAATCTTACTTCAAAAGCAAGACAAGCGAATCCGCAGCCGAGCAGCAGTGCGCAGGGTGGCGCCAGTATGACGGCCAGCACGGTGTAGCACCAGTTGCGAGCGTGCCGGAAGCAAGCGTGGCTCAATCTCCAGGCGCACTCCGGGCTCCGGGCGCCTTCTGGCTCGCCAATGATGTCGTCCCATACTATCTGTTGGGGGTGGTTTTAAATCCCATTTAGAAAACCAAGTCAATGTTTTCCGTTTTAAAAATTCATATACTAGGTACTAGAAGTTAAAATTAAATAATAGACATCACGCCTTTTATCCCCGAAGGGTTAGGTACACATTATGTGCATATTATGCCACTGTACAACGTAACACCCACTTTTCACAATTTATGTTATAAGTCCCATGTAATAGGGGGTGAGCCTATTGCCACATACCGGGCACAATTCCAGACTCCGTGCTACTACTGAGAATTTTTTTAAAACCCAGTAATACTTTGCCCGATTCGGAAATCGAATCGGAGACCCCTTACCCGGCAGTCGCACTTGCGACCACTCGGCCAATGAGGCAGGCATTAAATAATATAATTCGGTCTAAAACCTGGTTGCCCTTTTCTGTTTATACACCAAAGTCCCGTTTCTGTCCATTATTGGATGCACTTATTGTCTTACTTAAAAATACTTATAAGTACTTGGTACTGTACCCATGTTTTTATAATTAACATACAAAATAAGTGTAATAAATCTACAATTCTAAAATATATTTTTTAACGTCGTCCTTGCGTTGTTTCGCTTCTAATCCTTAGAATTGCTTTAGTTATTGTAAACCTGTAATAACGTAATGCCCATACAATGGAATGGGCCGTGAATAAGCCAATCACTTGGAAAATCAATAACATATAGAATTGTATGATTGCCCATTGTGAACGTGACATAGGTTTGACATAGTTTTGTATATGCTGTAAGCCAGTGTGTCAATGTCACGGTTAGTAACTTAGTTTTTCAATAACACAAGCGGTCGTTACGAGAATTAGAATATTTACATGTTTGTTTTCTACATATGTTACTGAAAAGTAAGTATGTTTTTATAATAACTATCGCGATACATACTAAATTAACTAAAACTCGCAGGTTGCTCACATGAAAATACTGAGAAAAGCTCTACTAGTTTCGAGCTACAGAGGGGCTCTTTCTCATGAGCAGCGTGCGCGGTCGCGGCGATGTCGCGCAGAAGGTTGCGGTATGGTTGGTTGAGTTAAAAAGTAAGTAAATAAGATGATTGTGTGGCCTGGATTTTCTATCAAATTAGTAGAGTTGTATTCAGTAAACAAGTCTGCTATTTCGGTCCCTACAGAAGAAAGTGACCAGTTGTTGACTATCTGGCTCCTTGCATTTTATATGAAAGATTCACAAGTACATACATACATACATAACTTCACGCCTGTCCCCCATGGGGGTAGGCAGAGACTAGGGAACGCCAATTATTACGATTCTTACATACCTCTTTCGCTTCATCAACAATCATCAATCTTTTCATGTATGCTCGTCGGTTAAGGGTACTTTTAATTTGGCCCTTCTTTAATATATCGCCAATCTGGTATACGTCCGTCTAGATTCACAAGTAGGTTAAATAAAATTAAATATGAGTTGTTTTGCCTATTCGGGCACATACGACCGCAATGTACTATAGGAAATATTTTCCAACTAAAGAATAGTTTACGTACAATAATGTCGTTCAAATAAAAAACTACCTATTCTTGACAGCAATTAACTCAATACTTACCTACATACAATTTTGCCAATTTACCTTTTAAAGGTGAAAAGTAAGCAATTAATGAAGAACAATTAAACAGTACAGGAGCGAGTGACCCCTTATACAGAAGTAACAGTACTTTAGTCACGCAACGTCTCGAGTTCTTTGTCCGGCTGACTACACTGTACTTTTAATTAAAGCTTTCGTTCTGTAAAATTAGCATATTTGATAACATTTTTACTTGAATAAAAATGGTGTTGAGAATAGCCTGGCTATAAATTTGTAATACGAAAGGAATGCTATAAGTATATTTTATGAAGTTGCTTACGTTATTGCCCAGTGTGGTCTGTTCAAGGTCAAGTTTGGGTTCGAAGAAGTGACTGTCTGGGTCTGATATCAACGAATCAGTTCAATTAATTTTCAAAATTCAAACTTTGACATTTGATTTTGTGTTTATTGATTGTAGATTGGTATTATCTGCCTAAAGTAATTGATTTAGTACGCCATATATGGCAAAACATGTAGTCTCTGTACTAACCAAAAAAACACCTTCATTGTGTTACTCATGTTTTACTAAATAAATATATCTTTATATCTATCTTTATCTAATAAGTGAGGTAGGGATACATTTATAATAAAAGATAAAAATGATAATAAAAAGAGGTTTAAACAATACAACCACAAAGTGAGTTTGAAACTGTCTACGGCATTTCGTAGCCCGTAGCCGATCCTCGTATATCGTAGCCGCGTAGCGCGTAGCATTAAAAACTTAATTACGTCTTTGAGTTATTAATTAATTGTAGAAATTTGTAAGTGTATAAGTGTATAATTTAATTCATCAACAGCCTATAAATGCCCGCTGCTGAGCAAAGCCTCTTCTCACAGGGAGAAGGTTTGAGCATTAATCACCACACTTGCTCATTGCGGGTTGGCATTATGTAATAATAATGTATAATTTTATTAAAGTTGTAATATTAATTATATAAATAAAAAAGTCTATACCTTTTTTAAGGGGGAAAATTATCGAACGACTTCTGCCTGTGTGAGGCGGGAGGGAGTGTCAGACTCTCACTGACTAAAAACCACCCCGTTCCTTCTCCTGCTCTTCGAACCGGAGCCCCGGTAATCCGTTAGGTTCTCCGCGACTCCGAATCGGCAATTGTATACCCTATCACGCTTTCGAGGTGTACAAACATGTTACCAATATTCGTAGTTCGTAGTGTTGGATACTCAATTGAACTCTGGAAAATTAGAATCGAATAATGTTGACGTGATATTTTCCCATTTACAAGCATTTTCTTAGTCACCTTGGGTCCATTGTATTATTTATGACTACTTTTATTCTATTCTGTTCGAAGTTAACACTGCACAAGGTACTTCGGAACAAAAAAGTAATGTTTACTCGTACAATAATGAGTTTATTTTCCGATTGACAGTGATATATGAACGACAGCAATGTAATACTAGGTTTGTAGTTCAGGCTGATTGAATGATAACTTTGTTTAGTATGTAACGTAGGTACCTAGTGCCCGAATACTCAAATTGAAATTGTACTTAAATATTGGGCCATCTCTGTCATTTTATAAAGAACTAGCAGCCCATCCCGGCTTTGCACGGGGTAAACAATTATTTATTTTTGGAAATTTGGATTGTTGACATAACTACAATAGTTGGACATATGCTACCGCGGAGTTTTTTGTAGACATTATGATGTTCTTCAATATTGTTGTACATTCTTTTGTTCTATCGCTTATAGTTTCGGCAGCGCGTTCGACGAAAGACATTTTAAGACTTATTTTTCTACACCTTCGGTTGCATTGTTCAAATTTTACCAAGGATCCCTAATTTTTTTCAAAATGAAATGTAGCCTTTGTCAAATTGGAAGAATGTAGCATTCTATTGGTGAAAGGTTTTTTTAAATCGGCCCAGCACTTTTTGAGCCTATTCATTACAAACATACAAAATAGGTACAACTTTTTCGTCTTTATAATATTAGTATAGATTTGTAGCGACAGAACTATACTTAAGCGCGACTTCATATTTTGAGTAGCCTTCCAGTATTCGGGCGCAAGTCTACCTATATTCAGAAGTTCATAAACTAATTTCTAAAGTGTAATTAATCTCAGGTTTAAAGAAACTCATAAATGATCAGAAAGTATTTAGTTTATGGTTTTATGTTTGCCTTTGTCCCTAAGGGGTAGGCAGCAACTGAAGAGAACCTAAGTACTTTGATCCTTGCTACTTCTTAGTACTTTATATTTCCATATTTATATATATAAACTGCACGGTTAGCGCGGTGGCTGGGCAACTGGCTGCCGCACAACATGTCGCGGGTTTGATTCTCGGACGGAGCTACTTTTTGTGTGATCCACAAATTATTAATTATGTATGTGTCAACTTGTATGTTTGTAAACGCAACCACGACACAGAAGAAAATCTAAGTGTGGGGCAACGTTTTAAAAAAATATATATATTTATTAAGCACGTCACCAGGTGAAGGATGTCTTATGTGAAAAATTAATTTATGTTTTTATGACTTTTCTGTATTTCACGTCACAGTTCAAGTGCGAAATTAACATACGTCGTTATCGTTCAAGGTCCGACAAATACCTACATAATGAAAGGCTTTCTAAGCTTAGAGGTGTATTTCCATAATAATAAAAACTCCTTGGAAAGCGGTTTCTAGCAGTTACTTCACCCTTATTATAATACGTCATAGAATTTTAACAACCTCGTGTTAGTGCTTCAAATGCTAATGTATATCCGGTGCTATTTACGTAGCTATGTATTTATTTCTATTTTCAAAACTTCCCCTACATATTTTTGCGAATTAATATTGTAGTGTGGAAAATGAATTTTCTCTAAATTAACTAAAATCGCGGGTTATTCACGTGACTATACTGAGAACAGCTCTAATAGTTTCAAACCACTGAAGGGTTCTTTCTCATGAGCAGCGTGCGCGGTCGTGGCGACGTCGCGCAGCTCACTCTTCGAAACTAGTAGAGCTTTTCTCAGTTTAGTATTTCGCATTTCTAATTAGTATTTCTATAAATTGTCCATTGTGGTGCATTGTTTTACCTATTTATTATTGATAAATGGACAAGGTAAATTGAAAACCTATACGTTTCAAACAAAATTTCTCAGTAGTAGCACGGAGTCTGGAATTGTGCCCGGTATATAGCAATAGGCTCACCCCCATACATGGAACTCAAAACATAAATACCTTGTGGAAAGTAGGTTTTACATTGAACTGTGGCCGTAATGGGCACCTCTGACTGACCCCTCGGGGATAAAAGGCATGATGTTATGTTATATACAAACAAACAACGACCTTCTCCAAATTACACCACTGCACCTGCTTATTAAGTATCAAGGTAAAATAAACAAACCTGCACGTGTTGGTTCAGGCTATTAGGGTCCCTGTCCTCCAGCACTTCTCGTACGTTCTCCGGTTTCGCCGTCATCACGGTCCCGGTTTCACGGGTTTGACGAACAAAGACCGGTTCTTCAGGCACGGGAGTCGGTATCAGCACCGGCGGAGCTGACACCGGCTCGGGTATCTCCGGCAGCAGTTTGGCTCGGTGATCGCAAGCTATGCACTGTCGTGATGTAGTCCGCGTTAGGTTCGGGACGGCTGCACCGCCGGACCCGAGCGGAACGTCCTCAAAGGCCACGGTAAAGGATAGTATATAAACTCCTTTAGAATTCCCCGAAAGAAATAATTTTAGTCGACTTTTTATCTACTTTAGTCAATGTTCACTGTTTGAAGTATTCAAGTTGACTAAATAAAATCTAGTTTGTGCTATAAAGTAGTTTTTTTAGTTACAATGTGTCGTTTATTTCAGTAGGTTGATTGTAATCGTAGTTTTTATCACAAAAAATAATCGGTTAAGTAATTAGTTGAAGTATATTTAGCTAATTACAAAGGTAATATTAACTATTATAGTCGCCGTTTAACAAAAAAAAACAACGGGGATTTTCAGTATGCACAGAATTATCTTGTTAGATTGTAATCTTAATTTATGATTTTAAATTAAAATGATTACGTTTCTTGGACAGCGTCCAATATGTCCGACTGACAGATTCCACTAATGTGTACACTACAGTGAAAGCTCGCGCTCAAACTGAAAACTTTTCATCAACCTTTACTTCTGACACCCTTTGCGCATGTCCTTCTTCCAAACTCGTAAATATCAACATGTCGCTTATCCATTGACGGTTTTACACTACCTTATTATAAACCTTTCTTACTGAAGAAGCAATGGTTGTATTGTATAGTGGGGTGTGCATGTTTTTTATTTTGTTTTTATGAAGTTTTCTACCGGCTACTAGAGAGCGTTGACCGGTAATTCCCTACTTTAAGAATGCCTCCACATGTGATATATTTTTAAAGGTAATAACTTCCGGTACTCATTGGATAAGCAGAGTAATCGGGTGCAGTCAGGCGATGCTTACCGTGATTACAACGTTTAGATTTTTAATATTATTCGGTCACCATTTTAGTAACTTGTAATGGTTCGTAATAGGCACGTTCTTGCAACTAGTTTGCGGTTGACAACATACTTCAATAAGGTAAGTATTTTAATTTATAACTAGTAAAATATTTGAAAAGTTATATAGGTTTACAAACATAGTGGTCTCGTAGCCTCATTTTATGTAATTTATACATATTTGGTTGTCTGTGTGTGTATACATTTCTAACCTAGATCTCATCAATCTAATGTAACTCCAAAAAATATAAGTTTTTTTTTGAAGTTCAGGCCTCAAATCTATCGTATCAAACCCGCAACACGTTACTCAGCCGTCGGTTGTCCAACCATGCACCAATTATTATGTTATTAAAATGCTTTGTTATTAAAATTTTGCAGCGACCAAACGTGGTTTGACGTCGCATAAAGTACCTGTGTACCTTCGTAAATGTTACGTTGACATTTTAAAATGTATATTTTCAAGTTGGTATAATAACATTTGGGTATGGACTGTTCAGTTTAGTGGTTTCTGTAAAGATATTCTCAGTTAATGTGATTGAAACTTTTCCAATTTTTATTTAGATTATTTCATTTTTGTAGTTTGAAATTGAAACTCAGACCTCGGAGCAAGATTTACTAGAAGAATAGTTAGAATGAAGTTAGGATTTCTTGGTCTCTCAAAATTATATGATTTTAGTAAATTCTACAATAGCATAGGACTCATGACATGACTGGTGAAATGTGGGTTTTACTAGCCTAATAGATCAATCTTTTCTGTCAAATATCTGTATTACATCTTCAACTTTATTGTTCATTGACATAAAGTAAACAATCAAATAAGTATAGACAAATTGGAGTAAGATGATTTGCTGGCCACTGTACCTCGGCCTTCCACTTTTGACATTGAAATGTTTGACGTTATTTTTTTATGGCATAAGCTGGTAAACGGTCAGACGGATCACCTGATGGTTAGCAATCGGCGTCGCCCTTGGACACCTGCAACACCAGAGGCGTTACAAGTGCGTTACCGGCCTTTTGGGGATTAGGAGTTTGAGGATCTTTGGGGATTCAGGGATTGGGGAGATTATCTTATGGGTGATTTTTATAATAAAACAACAAACAATAAATTGTTATACAAATCTTTACTCGTAATATAAACGGTTTAAACCCTACACTATATACATGCACCGAACTTTAACTTACAATTTATATACAGACATTATCTCATATTACTTATATTACACATTTTAAAGTCTAAACCATATGGATTTTACAGTAACATTCTATCATATTCTTCATATAATCATAGCTTTTCCATATTGTAGCATAAATACGACAATGCGAAAACAATAACTGATTAATATATGTGTTTTATTTTTATAATTATATAAAATGTTACCTATAAATCCATTATCATAGAGTATGTATTCAATAAATGTAACAAAATTAATATGAATAATATATTAATTAATGATTATTCATAAAGTTATATACAATTGAGCCATTTTATATTAGATTTATTTTAATTTTAATCTTATATATAAAATACTTCTTGTTTATTTTACTGTTATATTAATTTTATTATAACAAAATGAATAAACATACTAATTAAAATTTGATTACGTATATAGATCTGTATGATAAATATAAATGAATTAACTTATTTATGGGAGTATAAGTATTTCAATTAATTTATTTATCATGCATTTTCCTTTTATTATTGAGCAATTAGATTATTCATCCATACGCGTAAGTGACCAGCAGGCTTGACATGCTCATATTATAGCACCATTACAAAATAAGTTGTTAAAGTCTACTAATAAATCCCTCAAATTAATTTTACCCTGACTTTAACACTATTTAATGAATTGACATAGTTGTTCATAGCTTAATATTATTACAATAAAAACCGCCCATTATTATTTTTCACGTCATAAAGTAGTGTTGCGACAATCGATCAGTGAGTTTGAGTAAGGTTTCACGCCTAACCCGGTCACGCCGCACCTCGGTCCGACCGACCCGGAACATTATAGCAAATGATTGATCGAGCCACAACCTGTCACAAAGGTTGCTTTGAGGGGAAGTATCAATTAAGGGACACAATGGAAATGGCAGGAGTCCCATCACGACTGGTATTAGCTTACAAAAAGCTTGCGTACGGGTGTTATAACATTTTTGGTAGAGAATTCAAATAAATATGCCTGTACTATGAGTTGATAAGGATACAAAATTCGATATATTTTAGCACCTATCAGTAAATATGTCAGAGTGTAGCGTCTGAGCCTGTTTTATCAGCATCCTCGATACATTCTGACAGTAAATAGCACCACTAAGTACATACATCTAGAGTTAAGTCTATATTAAAGCTTCAGTATTTAGCTTACATCGGAAGACTGTAACATTAAGATTATTAACTAAGTTTGCTTGTTACACAAAAAGAAATTTCACTAATATGATCAAAATTATACTTTCTTTCTTAAACACACAATTTCGTTTTGTGTAAACAGCTTTAACAAGTAAACCTAATCTTGATTAAATACAACACAAAGTTATACATAGCTTAAGTACATGACAGATGCGAATTAAAGCACTCTTCGGAGTCAATAACTTCACAATACTGTGTTCGTTAATACAATAATTATTTGGAAGAAAGTACTAAACATTACCACATTATATTGTTAATGGAACCTTTGGGAAAATTGGCGACGTAGAATCAATAGATAATCATCGACAGAATAGAATTGAACAACAATAAAACAAAGTGAATTGTTAGAAAGCATAAAACATAAAGTTGTTTCACACGGGTTGCTTTATTCGAGCTTGCCTGAAAGAAAGGAATTTATTAAAGAACAGGTCTAGTTTAGTAAGCAGCCTGAGCTATACACTAGACAGTGCGACCTCGCCGGCCTCAGGTCACGAAAGAGAACTAAAGGGTAAATAATAAAAATAGCACAATACATGGTCGCCGACCCAAATTTCAGCAGCAGCGGCTCGCGTGACGAACAAACATACAGATTGCTAACACACCCATTCCGGCTTCCACAGAACACCGGACATTTGCTCGCCTCGCGGCTATAATGACTTCCAAAACTAATTTATATAAAGGATTACTTTCATTTTATTAGTATCTAAATATTTACTTTTCGTAATTACAATTATGTTACGTTTTTGGGTTGGCACTTATCCTGGCCATCGTGGACTACTTAAACGGCAAACCAATAACATATCAGGTAACAAACTCCTAATAAGTATTTAAGGTAAATAAATAGAAGTTTACATAGATTACAGGTCTTCATATACAAGTTTATGCTTAAGTTGCTAATTACGATGCGATGAGTGCTCCACACTTTCTTAAGTACTTCCAACTTATATCAGGCTCACTGCCTCCATTTTTAATCAATAACATTATAACAGAGCTGTTTAGTAATCAATGATTCTTTATAGAGTGTCAGCACGTGAGTGAGTGTACTCTTGAGTGTTGGTAACTCAGCGTGAGTGAGTGTCAGTGAGTGAGAAGAGCGGTGCGGGCAGGTCCAGCCGGTCGCAGGGTTGGGACGATGGCGGGCTCATCTTGTTCGGGTTCCTCCTTAGTCGGCTCACTGCAGACGCGAGTGAAGGGTTAACTTGAGTACCTCATTAATGAGTTTTTTAGTGTCTCGAAGAAAATGTCATGTTATGATGAGAAGATAGTATAGGTATTAATATGTCTAGTAAAGAAGCATGGCGAATTATTTTATTAAAACGTTTGGTTATTTCCTTTTCAACGTTTTATTTATTAGGTTGGGTTTACTTAGTTACATGCAGTTTCAGGGATTTCTATCTACTTTCAAGTACCATAGGCGTTACAACTAATAGTCACTAAAAGCTGATACACAAGTTGATTTCAAAAACTAACTTTTTTACTATAAAATACTGATCAAAAGTTATTAAACCGTTTTAGATCTTAGTTTGACGGTAAGATTCAGTACTGTACGAGGGATTTAAGCATACGGCAAGCACTCACCTTGTATGCGCGCGCGCAGGGTTAGTGTTAGGTAATAGCGCTACTCCCACACATCACCACCTTCGGAAACACCACACAACAACATTATTACAACTACCTCAATATACTGCACTACACATACTAGGAAACACCTCTTATACTAACTATTGTATTGCCAACCTTTCATCCTGTACGTGAAGAGCCCAACTCACCAAGTAACTCCAATCTGTTTGTCTTTTAACTTTAAACTTTAACATTTTGTAATAAAGTCCAAAATGTGTTCAATTAATGTAATTAAAGTACCTATATAGATATGTATATCCATAAGTACCTAATGTAAAACTGTAATTGAAGTCATGTGCTCACTTTAGAATAAGGTACGATGGGGTTGGCATATCCTTAAAGGATAAAAACCCCAATAATACATTTATTTATAAATAAAGATAAAAAAAAGTCCAAAATAAATTGGGTTAGTTTGATTTGTTGGTATTTGTTCTTTATAATTGTATTTGTTCATGGTGGCAATTAAATAATAAGTTCGTATAAAAGGTATTTGATTTCTGTAAGCAACAGTAAATTAATCAACTGTTTAACTACTGAAGTGTTATGTAAACTGCTAAACAGTTACTCGAGCATTAAATTAAAGCATTTCATATCTGTTTCACATGCTTTTTACATAGTTTCATGTTTCATGCACATTCAATCTAATAAGTTGACAATATTTACTTCATATAAGTAACGTAAGTTTAAATTGTATCTCCATACAATATAATTTTCAATCCGAGTTTTTTTTTGGAAATTTTTAAGAAGTTCATCATTAGATGTTATAAATTGAAGGAATTTAAATAGATACGAAAGAGACTTACATTATGGTGACAGACGCTATTATTGTTAATAGATTTATAATATTTAATAGAATACATACTAGATTGTTAATAGAATTACAACTTTACAACGCAAACGCAACTTTAAACGCAAAAAATCTACTGAATAACATTGATATGACAGTCAGTAAAATAAAAGTATTTTAATCAAAACATCTAACAATGGGAGTCACTTTCAGAATATTTCTATACTAGTCAAAACAAAATAAGGCCCACTTGTTATTTTTAACAGCGGTAGCGATAATTTATTTTTTCTGCGTACTCAAGTAGCTGAATGGTTTTTATAGCGTTACCTTATTTGTTTATAAACATTTATTTAAGTGTTCTACAGGCATAACTCTGTGAAGTGAGCAGTTTTTGATAATTTATTGTACCCACTTGATTTTACCCGATTTTAAAATGGATTTTAACTCAGTCAAACTGACGATTCTGTCAAGAACAGTTTAGTTTTGTTTTACTTCTGGCTGAATTATTTCTTTAACAAAGATATGCCGAGAATCCGACGTCATATAGACTTATCAACCGTAACTAGGGCCGTAACATTACTTCAAGAAGGCCATTCGCAGCGTTCTGTTGCGATGCAGCTGGGTTTTTCCCGGCGAGCAATTCAGAATGCTTGGTATCGATTTCAAGAGACTGGGAGACTAACCAGGAGACGGGGATCTGGCAGAAATCGAGCAACTACCGCACAGGAAGACCGCTACATACGTTTGACTGCGCGCAGAGAACGCTGCATCACAGCCCGTTCCTTACAAAACCGTTTGCGGCAGGCTACGGGTACACGTGTTAGTGATCAAACCATTAGAAATCGGTTACACGAGGACCAGCAGTTCTCTAGGAGACGTGTAGTGCGGATACCATTGACAAGCGCTCATCGTGCAAACCGATTATCGTTCGCAAGGCAGCATCTGGCATCGGATATGAGTGAATGGAGCACAGTATTGTTTACGGATGAGTGCAAAGTAAAATTTTTTTGTGATGACCGTCGCATTAGGGTCTGGAGGCGTGAAGGTGAGCGATTTTCGGATGCTTGTATCCATGAAAGGACAGATTTGGGGGCCCTAATGTTATGGTGTGGGGAGTAATCTCTACATCAGGTAGAACTGAGTTGATAATTCTCAATGAAGGCACAATTACAGCTCAATGTTACATCGAGGAGGTCATAAGACCTCATGTGGTCCCATATGCACAAAGAATCGGCGCAAGATTCCGTCTGATGCACGATAATGCTCGCGCTCATACAGCTAGGGCCACCAGAGAAGCTATAGAGGAGGCTGGTATACAGGTGTTGCCCTGGCCTGCAAACAGTCCGGATCTCAATCCCATTGAACACATGTGGGATTTACTCAAACGCAACGTTCGAAGCACAAACCAACCCGTGCACAATGAAAGACAGCTAATAAACATTTTAAAATCAAGCTGGGAACAAATTCCTCAAGAAACAGTGGTACACTTGGTGGAGAGTGTACCATCCAGGCTTCAAGAGTGCATTAGAAAACGAGGAGGGCATACTAAATATTGAGGAGTTACAATTCAACCAATATCTGATTTGTTTATTTTTTTACTTGATTCTGATTTCATACGTTTTGCTTGCAAAAATGTTAGTTTTTCAGAAAAAAATGGTAATTTTTTTTTTTGGATTGTGTCTTTCATCATTTTGTGTTGTTAATAATAAAAAACAGTTAATTTATCAAATCTAATCATTAATCAACACTTAAACCTCAAGATTTCATGAGGAAACTATAAAAACGTGGTGGCCCTTATTTTGTTTTGACTAGTATATATTTCTTTGAGGAGTAAAGTATGGAGTGCATACCTGATCTTGATGGGATGTCGCAAAGATAGATCAGAGCCAGACGTGGACCGGTCTGCGGCGGGCAGGAGACGTGGCGCGCGCGGTGTTAGCGGGGAGCCCGAGCTGCGTCCGCGCGCAAACTCACGTCGGTAGTTGTCTGACACCGGACTACCGCTGAACGCAGAGCCTGAGCCCTCTGTATATTATATACTCAGTGGTTAATTTAGAATAAAATTCGAATGGTTTTTTTTTTAAAGAATGAGGTTATAAAATTTAGTACGTTCTCGCAAATAGTAATAACCGTTTGATTGTAAGTTAAGTATATAAAAATAACTTTATCGCCTCTTAGATTGGTCTGTAATATTGACAAAATTAAAATCTTACATGTTAATAGCAATTAAACTATGTGGGACAAATTTTCTTAAATTAAGAAGTCTCATACTACGCGAATGCTACGACGTAGCACTTGCTACGAAAATAAAACAAGTAGGTATTTCGTAAACAATATTCAGTGATTCAGAATCGATATTTAGACGATTTTATGTATGTACAAAGATATCAAACAATACGAACTGCTTGTAATATTCAATAACTAAAAATAAATGTACAATCGATAAGTTGTAACAATGAAGTTAGTACGGCATAATGCATGAGTGTAAGGCTCCTTACAGACTTTTCGTTTTAAAGATGACAATATTAATAATTATGGTACCAAGAAAATGGCAGCAAAATTGTTCAAATATGTACGTAAGAATGTTTTATGTAAATAGTGTAAGATACCCGCACCGTTTAGCCAGCAACCGGAGCGTGTGTAACGACCCTAATGGTGTCCAAGCCGGCAAGCCTCGCCGACAGTCAGCCAGAACACTAATGTATCCACTTCCGATGTCCCTGACCTGGCTGCCTGCTTACTTTACTTACCAATACCTCGTATTGTTACACTATAGAGTTTGTTTATGTATTACGCATTTTTGAACTCGGTAAATATTGTGTAAAAAGTTTTCTTTTGCATAAGAGCTTGTATGTGGTTTCAAGTGGTTTGCCCAGTTTTATTTTTAAGTAAAACTAAACCATACTTATTTAGTAACTTCAATGGCAAAGCGAGGTATTGAAACAAACATTTTAACTATTAATTATCTTCTGCATTAACCTGTGAAGTGTTGGAACGCAAGTCTACGCGAGACACAATATGTTTTCTATTATGTCTCATATATCAATAGACAAGAGGTTAAATTACTTGTATAGCTAGTGACTAAAAAAAAAATTTTGTTCTGAGAATTGAGATGATGACAGGGTATGAAATTAAAAATCTAATTAGTCCGTAAGTTAGGTAATGAAAAAATATTAGGCACGTATTTTTTTTATTTTGTTGTATAATAAAATTATACTTAGATAATATTAATCAAAGTTTAGGACTGGGGGCTAAAACGTCACGCGATATTTCAAATCAATAAATCGTCGGAAGTATTCGTTTCTATAAGAAAATAAAAAATATGTATCTAATGATTTAAAATAATCTATTAAAATAAAAATTAGGCATCCACTACCCTATTAACTAACACCTTATATATGTAATATCTACAAATAAATATTAAGTAATTCCCATTTCTATCCAACCTAGTTCCCATTCAAGTGTGCTCAACACTAGTGGTCGACAGTCGACGGTTATGGCGCAGGCGTCCCAGATCTAAATACATTGGGGACGAGCGAGACTTGCATTCAATTACTGATACTCATAATTAGTTACTTTCTAAAAGTTATTATGTAATTCAAGCATTAAATAACGGCTTATTTCAGTAGAAGAATTGATTTTTTTAAAATCAACCGAACATTTTAGTACGCTGTTGGACTGCTCTTTTAATAGAGAGAAGAAAGAACAACAGTTTACCAACATTATTAAGAGGGGTTTGTCACAATTTTTAGTAGGGTTTGACATTAAAACTCATGTCATGTCCAATCTGAAAAATTGTTAGCTACTGACCATTGTAAAGTTGTTGGGATGCGATGGGCATGCGTGCGCAGGCGGCGGGATGGGCGTGCGCAGCCGACCAGTCGCGGTACACACGTGCTCCTCCACTTGTACGCCACGCTGATAGTTCTACACTGCGAATCTGTAGCGCAATAATAGTAATTATATTTTTAAATAATAATTAATAACTAGCTTTCGTAATACTCAAATTTTCCTAAATAGCACTTAAATTTCACTCAAGAATAATTTAATTCTCTCTGGTGATAATTGCAGAAAAATCAGTTTAGTAGTGTTTGAGATTATTGCAAACGGATAGATTTTAATGATTGGCGAGGGGAACTTTGCTTTACAAAAGATACTAAGACATTAAAGACTGATTCATTGATTAAAATACGTACAGGTGTGGAGCTCTTGCTACGGCCGCTGATCTCGGATGAGGCATTGCTGTGTCTCTGGGAGTCACGGGAGCGCTCCGGCGCCGGAGACTCGCGACATGAACCGTCGGGAGAATCACGAGGCTGTTGTAAGAAATAATATAATCAATATGCCTATTTTTCGCCGATTTCCTATTTAACCCTAAGGTTGACTGGGAAAGAATGCCATATGGTATTAATGTCCACCTTATGTACCATTACTTGTTTATGTGTACATTAAAGTTTAAATAGATAATGAAATAAAATATTAATAAAATTGACAATGAGATCGGTCACATTTGTCTTAAAATCAATGATAGTTGGAGTAGAAGTGTCCTGTAACAGAGATTTCGCCTAGGCACGTGGAGTTTAGGGCGCCCTCCAGTTAAGTAGAGTAATGATATTTGCACAATGATTATATAATCATAATTGCACGCTGTTAGAGAGGCTGACTAGCCGAGAACGGTACATGCCCTGATGATGACAGCGATGTTCATAGCAATGTGTAAATAAATCACACACTCAAAACACTTATCCATTTTTTGCCATGAACCTACGATTTTAAAACAACAACACGTTTTCGTCGTTAACACAGTGTTAATGTAACATTGTTTTATTTGTCTATTTATTTTACTTCAACATGCAATGCAATAACAAGCTATTAACATAACTATTGATGTATAACAATACGACCATAACATAACATATAATCAACAAATAACACCATGAAGGTTACATATACTTGTTCTCACAGTTTGAGGCAAGGTGACCGTCATACGGACGTTGTTGTGGAATCGTTCTCATTTTTGTTATAATCGTCGTTATTATATCATAGTATGTAGGTACGTAAGTCAAGTGGATGTGAGTGCAGCTGCCAAGCAACGTATCTTAGGTGTCCAGAGCGAGTGACGTTATGGATTTTTTAACATTTCTCTATGTTAATAGTACGGAGTTTGGAATTGTGCATTAAGCTCGGCTCCTATTATACAGGATGTATGTATAAAATAACTAAAAAAATGTGGGTGTTGCCTAATGTGATCATTTGTCTATTGTTTTACAGTTGGGCATACAATCTGTGATTTTATGTAATTACAGCATATAATATGCTGTCGCTTGTTATGTCCGTATTCTAAATTGGCGCTCTATGTCACCTTGGTTCAAGCCGCGAGGAAGGACGAGTGACACCAATGATTGATGACTCCCAAAGCGCCTCATTAAGTTCCGATGACGATTTCAATTAATCAAGAGTCAATGTTTGTATAATACTTACATGCCTACGTATGTATGTATTTTTTCTACGATTAACCAAATACAGGCATGGAATTTATAGCTGGTTTTGCACTTTGATGCTGCTAAATTGATTTATTTTTTGAACTATTCACTATCTTATTAGTAAAATATATTGCTGTTTAGTTGTATTACTGCTAGACTGCAGTTCTGAATTCTCTTAGCTAATTGAATTCTAAAAATGTTGCAAATATTTCTGCATTGATTATTAAATCATAGAAGGTATCCGATGATGCTGAAAACCTGCATTTTGACGAAATTGTTAAAGGTCACGTTAAAGACACATTTTCAAATGTCTGTGAATTTAGTGTTATCGATTAACTCGTCGAGTACCGTCATTATAGACACAATTAAAGAACAATAGGTTGCGGTCACCGGTGACCGCTCGGTGTTTGACAGTTTAATTGTATAATGTTACCTTGGTGTGATGTGTGGTGTGTGTGGGCATGCTGTTGGCGCCGCTGCTGACGAGTCGCAGCTGTTGCCGAATGTTCGCCTTCTCTCTCGCACGCTTCCTCTGGAACTCTTCCTCAACTCTGAAGAGATAGGAGTTCATGTTTAATGACATTACACTATCTTATAATTCAAGTTACAAAAATACTATTATAATGTCAGTAACTCTGTAAATAACAGGTAATGACTGCTAATGGAACATTTTATAAAGAAAATTTGCAATGTATAAGTTTTTGGTAAGTCTAAATGCCATAGGCATTTTTTTAAGGGTGGAAAATCATCGAATGACTGCTCCCGCCTGGGTGAGGCGGGAGGGACTGTCAGACTCTTACTGACTAAAAACCACCCCGTTCCTTCTCCTGCACGTCGAGCCGGAGCCCCGGTTACCCGTTAGGTTCTCCGCGACTCCGAATCGGCATCGGCCCTGTTGGGCCCCATCTGTGGCGGTCTGATGGCTCTTTGAGGACCGCGCGATGCCATAGGCATAAGATGCATAACTGCTATCTGAGTAATGTCAATAAGTACGGTACCTCCTCATGGCCTCCAGCTCGGTTCTTCTCTGTTGCTCCTTGAGGTCAGCCTCCTTGGACAGCTTCTCAGCCAGCCGCCGTCTCTCCAGCTGTCGCACCGTGGACTGGAATGTGAACCGCTTGCCACGACCTGTCGCGTTTGAGGAGCGCTGTAACAAAATAAAATTACATTAAGATTTGTCATAATGAGTGTAGATAGGTAACTATACTACTATCTATAAAATGGTAAGGGAAAAGATATAGATTAGTACACTTTCGGGATATCATTAGTATATAAATGAGTTCTTGGGAATACAGCATTAAAACCATTAGTACGACAAAGCACAAACATCCCTGATACACTACGGATTGACTACATTAACAACAAAATGAAAACAAATTTTGAAGACAAGATTATTTTAAAGATATGTTATCAACTTTAACATGTCGTTACATAACAATTTTGCGGTAATTGTATAATTCCTTCATTATAGTAAATGTGGTACTAGGTATGCCTAGGTATGTGACCCTTTGGCCTGCTATCCGATGTGCATCAGATAGCAAGGTTGTCGGTAGCGCAGCCCCGTGTCACAGCACTGCCGCGCCCTGGTCACATACCGACCTTGGGACTTACATAAGTAGGCACTAACTTATGGTAAATAGAATTATATTGTTATAAAACGTGCACGCTTTTAGTACTAGCTTAAAAGAAGTTGAATCACTAAGAAATCTTTGAACAACAAATACTTTTGTACTAGTAGAGTAAATAGCTTCACTAAAGGACCGACGGACATGTTTTAATTTTTGTTATTATTTGACAAACAGTATCTATCTACCTACATTATTATTGGTTTGAATAAAATATTTTAAGAAAAGGAAAGTATATTTTGGTTTATGTAACTTAGTCTACAAATAGCTGATTCAAAACACGGATTTTATGATTTTCGTCTGTATTGAAATCATAAAAAGTCAATAACCCTGTTTATAACTGTCTAAAGAAAGATTTATCAGTAGCATTTGCGATGCATTAGTTCTTGGTACATTTCTAAACGGCACTGGATACATATCTGTTATCAGAACAGATTTATTTCAACTACTAACAATCTTTTGTAAAGGCGATAGTTTAGATACAATCTTAATGTTAAAATACTTTACAAAATCAATTGTGTGGCCATTTCCGCATCACAAAGAGTCAGCTTATCTGATGGACGGTGATTCACACCTTCGAGTAGTAGCTGGTTGGCAACTGGTGATTATAGACCAGAGAATAAATGACAGAAGGCAAGTTCTGGATGTGCTGTGATAAAATACTTAAATGAATGGCTTCAAATACAGTTCTTTCGATAAACTGTACTGTTATTATATATTTTTCTTTTTTTCTTCCTCTTTGGCAACCGAGTCTCTAAAACGAAGTTGTCGACTATACTGTAACGTACTTATGGGGCCTTCCAAACTCGTGTATTTACTTTAATGTTATTGAGTATCCTGTGTCAAATACTTGACATATTTTTTCGCAAATTACCTTCAAAACCAAGGTTTGCTTATATGAATTTTAAAAACATCGCCAAAAATATTAATAATGTCGATTAGTCGTAGATAAAACATAGTCATAAAGTTTATTGTATCTTCTTTACCACGGTGTTTCGTGTGAGCTAATGAAAGTAAAGGTGTGAATATTAGTGAGATTGCGCGTACGCAGTTCTAACTGCGACGCTGTATTCAGAGCGTGTGACCCGCGCAGGCGCACCGTGTAGGAAGTTTACTAGATAATCCAAGCGATGTGCTAATGTGTTTTGTAATTACTTGCATTGAGACAGAAATCGTAATTTAGATTATATTCGCAGTATTTTCTTACGATCTAAGCTAGATACTGATAGGTACAAGTTGGTAAATTCGCTTGATGGAGAGTGGAATCACGATAGTGTCTGTCTGGGTACATTTCAAGCTGTGCCTGTACTTTGTAAATTGGGTCGACGAGATAAAGTGTTGCCAGACGAAGTGTTAACAAATTCACGAGGTGTGAAGTAATTTTCCCATAATATAACGCAGGTGTGGAATAAATTGCGAACAATATCTGAGTAGTTTTAACGGTGTGCCTCAACAATAAGTGTGTAGGAAGCACACGTCATAGATAGCGCCCCGAGGATGCCACACTATGATGCGCTAATTCATAGATCGCTATCGCGCACACGTTGCATCCTCTGCGCTTGCGCAACCGACCTTTGTTACATTAGTTTTATTTTGTGGAACTATACTTTGAATGTTGTTTTGTTTGATTTAAAATATTTAATGGTGAGAATGAATGACTTATTCGTGTCGTCGATTAAAGTGACTGACAACATTGTATCTATTTTACTTTTGTATGTAATGTCTTAAAATAAGTAAAGTTCTCGTTTTCTTTAACATTAACATCAATTTAAATCCATAAAGTAGCAGAAACGGACTTAAATTCTTGCATACTAAACGTTACAAAGTCCTAGAAAGAACATAAAATGTAATACGTTACTCGGTAAATACTCTACTGTTAATATTTATCTCCGAAGCTAAACTAATTGCGATATTGTCCTCATTCGGACTCGACACGGTTTCAGCCAATATTGACTGATTCTCTGCTTGAAGACAAACTTCAAGTGTTGACATTAGATCGCCAATGACGCGTACAAAATATTTGCTTGTATAATGACTTTCCAAATGATCACCAAAAAACTAGAACCACAAACATGAACGATGATTGTCTATAATTACTATATTGTGTATTAACATGAGACGTCAAAAAAGCACATCTGTTTTGCTTGCTCAAAAATCAATAATCATTACAGAGATGATATTTACGATGATCTAGAACTTTGAAGTAGTAGCGTTAGAAAACTATTGAAATAATTTCATACAATAATTTAATATAATAATTAGAAAGAAAGTCGAACGCAAATGTCACGTAGCACTAATTATTTAGATACGATATATCTGCGACAAAGTCGTACGTACGTTAGGTATGTACGTAAAGTTAAAGTATGTAGTACGTTAAAAATAATAGCTAAACAACTCTTATCATCAAAAACTGCTAGTTGAGTTAACAAGCCCGTGTACTAAAACGCACAAAACCAAACACGTAGGTTCGACAACGTGTATTTACAGTAGTTAACAAAGGATCCATGTTGATTGTGATCTTCTTGAGATGGTTAGTGAGAGATGCGGTTACACGTAAATACAGTCACGTGCATCAAGATTGAGCACGCAAAATACATCTGTGCAGGGCCGGATTGAGCGTGGGGCCTGTAGTAAGTTGTATTGAGGGGCCTTCGGTCTGATGTTTATAACTGACATACTTTTCATTTCCCGAATGGTATAAATTGTTCATTGTAATATCCAATTTTTGCTAAGTAGTATTCTACAAGCCCCATGTAATATTGTCATACACTGTATATCAACAAGCCTCAGTCAATAATGGTTTAGCGGATAAACCATCTATGATAAACTTTCTCTTTCTCTGAGGCGAAGCTTTGGTTACATAGGACACCTTTTATGCATGGGGCCCATAACAATTGCTACTAGGTACGTCCCTGTACTTGTGCGGTCATGTGCCATTGGCAGCGTGATTCGCTGGCGTGACAGTTGAACTGGGAAGGGCACGCTGGGAACTGAATCCGTAGGTACTTGAGAAATTAAAACTTTAATTTTTAGCTACTTTTGTCTCTTGAACTTGTTTTGTTTTAAATGTAGGTATGTTTTGTTTAACTTTGTTTTTTATTTTACTGTAGCGGTTTTTATGAATTTGGCATAACACTTTTTGCGAGTTATGTTGTATGAATTAAAATGTTCTTTGCTCAATCTTAAACTTGCCCAATAAGACTGTCATAAAATTTTATTATAAAAAAATACCGAACACAATACAAGACAAGCCTACAAACATTTTATAACAAGTCAAAGTAGACTCTATCCTCCTAACAACAAAGTCATGTTGCTTAACTTTATGGAGGCACAAACAATGCTCAGTTAAGTGCGTATTAAGTAATTCTAATTTACACACCTAGGGGACAATAGTATACTTAACAACTGTAGCTTGTTCCTCCAATTTAAAGTAGAACGCTTAAGTAAGAACTTGTGAAAGCTAGACAGACTAGCCACAAATGTGTGCGGCAATGTGACAATGGAAGATGAGAACCACCACATAATGAACCCTAACTTAATCTTACTTAGTTAATTTTATGAATGACTTAAGGATCTTGTAATACTGGTTTCGTTGACACAACTGACAAGTGGTATTTGGATAGTTTTGTCATAATATTTGCACAATTATTTAGTTAGCAAATTGACACGGAATTTTAGAGTAATGAAGAGGAATTTGTTTCTAAAAAGTGTTAGATTTATGATCCATAACTGGGTAAGTAGAGTAGGTAGACATTTTGCGAATAACTTGTGACTAGCTGTCTTATTAATGTTGCATAGTAAGAATGACGTGACCAAAATTACGCGAGGAGAAATATAATAGGAGAAAGAGAAATACAATGGCACCGACTAACTGAATTTGTAACCTATTAATATTATAAATGCGAAAGTTAGTAAGTATGTTTATTTG